TTTAGGATCAGCTTTTTATGTCGATAAACAGCTTATGTTGTTGTTTAAGCGCAGATGGTGTATTAAAAAAGTGATCATGTCAGGCCACGATTTGGGAAAAATAAAATAAAAGCCCCCCACCCCCTCGATTAAGCGCACCCCTCGAATAAGCGCCCCCCATCTTTTCCTAAATTTGAAATAAGCGCCCCGGGCGCTAATTCGAGCATTTACGGTAAATAAACTAAACAAAAAAAAAGACGCAAATTTATCAACGATATGTGTATTTATCATGATTTATTGGATCACATATGTTAAAACTATAATTCTGTTGCCGTCTTAATTACCAAAATGAAGACTATTGCACCGTTCTTAACAATTATTACCGTCTTTTGCTAAGTCAAAATAATGTGCTACATGCTGGCGAGTATAGCTAACGAATGAAAGAAAAAGTATATTCTGCCACTTTGCACTGAAAAAAAAATAAATAAAAAAAAAACACAAACAAGAACAAAAGAAGAAGAGGAAATATGTGGCAAATTTGGGCAAACAAGTACTACGGTGTAAAGGCACATTTGTTGAATAACATAGTCTCACATGTGTGATGCAAATCTGCGAAGTGTTAATATTTTGCCACTTGTTTCCTCAAATGTTAGATGTGTAAAATTACGCGGCGTTCAGTGCAACAAGTTTATCTTACGTTACCTTAGGTCCAGGACTTCCCGGCGGGCCTGGATCACCAGCCACTCCCCTCTCTCCCTAAAAATTGTAACAGTTCGTTAACATCGTCAACATCGCTGATTCGTAACTGGACAATTATACGGCTGTATGTGAATTGAAAGTGGCATGCATACAGTAAAAAGAACTTAGCTCCTGCTGTTGGAATACCTTCAGCACCAACAGTGCTATTTTACATGTTGGAGGATAAAGCTTGTGATGTTGACAAAAACGGCATACAAGAATAACGGGGGAAATAAAAATATTGTCTTTGGGCGTTTTCAATTCGTCCAAATGTCCACTGGCGGAACAGCATTTTTCGCAATTTCCAGAAAAGAGGACAACCTTGCTAGTGATACCCAAATTTCCGAAAATTTCAACCGGGAATTTCTGTTTTCCATTTGATTTTCCTTCCTGGATTTCTGGAATTCTCGGTTGAATGGCGTGCATTTCGGAAGTTTAACAATTTTCGGATTTTAGGGAGACTTTCTAAGGAAACTTCGGTACCAATTGTCCCTGTTTCCAAAGTTCCTGGATTTTTGGTTGAATAGAAAGCGCCCTATAAGACAACATGCGGTTGTATTTATTTTTGGACACATTTGTAGATAATATTTGGCAGAAAAAAAGGAAAATGATTATTACCTTCTGTCCTTCCAATCCATTAGAACCCTTTATTCCAAATCCTCCAGTATCGCCCTGAAAATTGATCAGGAAATTTGTAAGTTCTGTTTTATTACATAATTTTCTGGCGATTTCAATAAATTTGTAACTAATGTATATAAGGTCATTTGTTATGCACTCTGTTACTATATAATGTAA